TTTGGCAGACCACGCCGAGTGGCCCTATGCATTTTTCTAAAATCGGGTTTTATTCGAACTTTTGCTAACGACAAAAACAGTTTATCTGTCGTCTCTGTCTCCGGGAACTGCGCGTCACAAAAATGAACCGAAAGCCACTTCAGCTCAGTCACTATAAGAAATCGGCTCTGTCTAATGCCTTTAAATGTCTAAATATTCAGGCTAATAAATGTTATCTGATTATGTAATCCATATGAAAACGAGAGGTACAGAGGATCTACTCAAACATGTAGCCTATGTAAGCGCTTCCCAATGAGAAAATGACAAGGGTGAAAATCTCGCTCTAATGAAATGTAGCAGGCTAAATCGCCCTGAATTAAAATGTAAAAACAGATCAAATAATGTATTTGTCGAAATGTTGCGATATTGTTTCATTTAAGTTCATAATTATTCTATAGGCCTACATGTTATTTAATTTAGCAGCATTACCACGAAGCACCGTGGTTCGATATTTATTTGAATAATAAAAAAAATAATAAAAACTTAATTCACAAATTGCATGCCTGGTTGAAAGGATCCAAAGATCCCTGTAGAATTTAATATTAAGTTGAACATTTTGTTCATGACAACAAATGAACATGCGTTTTTTCAGATTATATTTAGTTTTGCTTGGAAAAAGCTGGCCCAAACCAGTTTTATTTCATCAATTATTGAAATAATGAAATATTTAGTAATAAACTTTTATGACAGAAATTTCACTAGGCTACATGTAACTTAAATCATTTAATTCCTTCATTATCAACACTGTCTAGAATAGCGATTTAAGTGTGAATTACGACTTCTCTTTGTGTTAAATCAGCCTCAGACTCCGATAGCCTGTGGGGGGTTGGGGGACAGTTCAGTGCTGTGCGCGCAGGACAATAGGCCTAGGTGTTAATGTTCCTCTTTCATATGGAGAGCGAGGGAGACTAAATAAACTTGTTAAAAAGAGATTCAGCGCGAGAGAGGCAAAGAAAAACGCATGTTTTAATTTAATTATGTTGCTTTGGACAATTTTCGTTTTGTAGGCCTACTGTTTTAATTGTTTAATGTCATTTATTTGGCAATACAAATTTAAAATGTCGCAAGAATAATATTAGCCTAGTGTTTCTTATTTTGCATCGCAAAAGAAATAAACTCTAAACCCGATGCAACCCTGTTTTAAATAAAAAAAAACACTTTATTTAAACCTTGAAATGTTCGAACTTGGTTTCAAACTTAAGTAATTTTAGTGTTCTTTTACATTACACAATAATTTAGCAGACTAAAGACGAGCTTCTTCATTTTCATTTTCTGATGCAATCGGCTGACAATCTTCCTTCATCAGTTTGTGTCCTTTGTGCAGCGGCTGCGGTTCTACTGGAATGTAGCAAATTTATGTTGTAATGATAATTAAACAAAACTCTTGACTTTAAATAAGTAAACAGTTATAAACAGTTAGCTATTTAAGCATCAAGAAGGTAAAATATAAACGCTGTTGGCCAACATCGGTTAACAACATGTATGCCACATTGAGATTCGATCTCGGGTCGATTGAAGCTCCCTGAAGCTCGTGTTGATGCGTTGATCACTGAGCCACCGTTTGTACGCTGTTAGAGTTAAAGTCTTATGCTTTTGTAAAGCTTCATTGATGTAGCCTAAATGTTTTTATTGCAATGTTTTATGTTTTCATTATTTATTCAATTTCATTTCAGTATTTCAGCCTAATTTCAGTATTGTGGTAATGAATTATTTTAACTACGTTTCACTTGTTGAATTCATCTGCTACCAGCTTTCAATCGCTCTGAATGAGCAGCAGATTACGCATTAGAGAGAATAAACGAACACTTTTCAGAGTCTATGATTGTAGCGCCTCTTAGCGGTAAAAGGCAGAAAATACACCCCACATTTTACCGCCGCGGTGGAACGGCTGATGTGGGCATTGTCATGGCTTTCCTCTACATTTGCGTTTGAATAGCGCGCGTTCTCCGTGGGCGTGTCAGATTAACGCGTAATGAAGTGTAATGAGCTGGGGAAAAAAATTCTGACAGCACTCTCTTTTCATACAGATTACATAAACTGAGAATATTTGTTTTTTATATAAATTACTTCATTGAAAAGAAGAGAATTCAAGCTTCATAAAGAAAAATCTCTCGTGCCTGTGTGACAAGTATTTGCAGAGTTAGAGTTAATTTTTCGGACGCGTTTCAGAATGGACTGCACTGACAGAGAGAAGGCAAAACTCGCATCATGTTTATTTTTCTTCATTTGACAAAAAGCACAACACTTTGTTTTTATTGTGAGTATACAGAAAAATAATATACACTAAACAGGATCGACTGATGTATAACACTTACATGTAAGATTAAAATCAACAGAGTATTTTGAGTCTCTTTTGCACTGATAAGAAAAAAAGTCTGCCTATCGCGCCGGCGCGATAGCCGACCCCAGGGGGTTAATTCTGCTGCCATTTTTTGCCACCAACCCCCTGATAACATTAAGAGAAACATAAACCACAAAACTAACAGTTTTCTATATTGTTTTTCGTCATTGGAAAGAACAACATTTTTGGCTTTAAAGCATGATTTAAAAAGAAAAAGCAAATGTTATACAAAACATACCATCATTAATTATCATTTGAATATTGACAACATTAAGCTACATTTGAAAACATAATTGTGTATAAAGAGGCATGCTGTTTTGACCAATATTATTCTCTCTAGATTTAAAGATAGTCAAATTAACTATAACAAACAGGTTAAACAAGCCATAGCTTACTTTTAGACGTGGTGAATGAAGTTCGACTGTTCGAGGTTGTGATGGTCGTCCGATATCCCTTGCCAGTTATTATGCGTACAACAAATCTTCTTGCATGAATATGGTCATTTTCTAGTGTTTATATCCAAAAAGATACGATGCAGGGAGATGTTTTTGTATTTAGCGCGCTCAGCGCGATGTAGGCTATTTCTGGGCTTGTGCAGCGTCACGCAATCGCGCAGAATCTGATGACTGACGTCAATGGTTCCGTTGCTTTCATTTTGTTTATCAATGGATGTTGCGATGATTTATATAAAAATGTATATCAAGTCATTCTCGAGTCATACAGTTCAAGTCAAGTCAAGTCTCAAGTCATTGGATCTCAAGTCAAAGTCAAGTCGAGTCATTTTCTTAATTTAGTCAAGCAAGTCTCAAGTCCTTAAATTTGCGACTCGAGTCTGACTCGAGTCAAGTCATGTGACTCGAGTCCCCCATCTCTGCAAAAAGGTGAGTCTTTAACAATGATTTAAAACACTCGACAGAGGAAGCTGCTCTGATTCTGAGAGGAAGTGAGTTCCAGAGAGTAGGACCTGCCACTGCAAAAGCTCTGTCCCCTCTGGTCTTTCGTTTAGACCTTGGACAGTCTAAGGACAGCTGACCAGTCGATCTTAGTGGTCTAACTAGAGTGTGCAAAATAAGCATGTCTGATAAATATGAAGGTGCTAAACCATTTAGAGATTTAAAAACGAGCAATAAAATTTTAAACTGAATTCTGAAAGCAACAGGCAGCCAATGAAGAGACGCCAATACAGGGGTGATGTGGTCAAAGCGCTTTTCCCCTGTCAATAAACGTGCAGCAGCGTTTTGCACTAATTGTAATCGGCGGACTGAGCACTGATCAAGACCATAATATAAAGAATTACAATAGTCCAGACGATTTGTGATCAAGGCATGCACAACTTTCTCTAGTTGGCTATGTGGCAGGTGAATGAACTTTTGCACGATATTCAACACGATATATTGACAAAATCTCCCAAGATTCTTCCCATGTGTTGAATCAGGAGTATCAACTCCTGCCCTCTGGGAGACGCTATAGGGTCCCAGAGTGCAGGAAGAACAAATATAAACACTCATTTGTTCCTCTGTCAATATCTCTGCTGAATCAACACATGAGAGTAAAGAAGTGATAGTGTCCCCCCACTTGAACTTTAATATATATATTTATGGCTATTGAAGAACACTCCTGCAGGGCGGAGTACCCATAATATTATTTAAGTATCTATTTATATTTTTTATTGATGACTCTGTTTTTAGCTTGTGTGTGTTATAATTGTTGGAGCTTGTACTGCAAGACAAATTTCCGTGCACACGGACAATAAAGTGCTATCTATCTATCTATCTATTCAAATTTTTCGAGTTTCACCTGTATAAAGCTACTGCTGTGGACTCCCGCATATCATGAAATATTTAATGCTGAACAAAACTAAACTAAACAAATACATGGCACAAACACATGGCAGTACAAACAAACTACTTGTAAAACTTGTTTACAACTACCTCTTGTAAATATCCAGTAAGGATCCATCATCCTTTTTCTTTAGGATAGCTGAAGCTGTAGGCTCCTGCTCACAAAACCCCCTGCAAGTTTTAGCAAACCTTTTCAGACTGTCATTTCTTTTAAAAGTGGACCTCAATGTATTGAACAGATCTGGGTTAATCGCTGCAAGTTCTGCAATCGGAGCCTGAAACACAATAGTATTCCGATCGACCCCAAGCCTTGTATATGCTTCAGCTTTTCTGATGTGTTCCTTTTTAATCTTTTCCAACCATGTTGTAGTGTTGTAATCTTTCAACCATGTTGTAGTGTCGGGTGGAGTCGTCATGGGATTTGACTGTAGAACAAGAGAAAGCGTAGCCTGGCAAGAAGCCAGACCCACATCAAGATGTTAGGTCTGGGAACTCACCATTGGCATGCCTTAATCTGAGGGGCGGAATAAATGGTTGTCTTTCAAATTCCCTCTGCACGCAATAGGATTGGCTACAACCAATCAGGGGTGCGTTTCCTAAAAGCATCGTTAGCCAACTATGGTCGCAAGTTCCATTGAACTCTATTGGTAACGACAGAACTTGCGACCATAGTTGGGTTTGGGAAACGCACCCCAGAGTAGGGCTGCAACAAACGATTATTTTGATAATCGATTAATCTAGCGATTATTAAAACGATTAATCAACTAATCGCAGATTAGTTTACCGACTAATCAGTAAGTTTGGAACGATTATTCAGCTTTTTCAATTAGTTAAAACATTGAGTTATACATATTCTTACTATAATATAAAAAAAGAAAATCAGTTCAGCTTTTGAAATAGTTGTTTTAATGAACTTTGAGCCAACTAAACAGGTCATTCTCTTTAAGTTGTCAGATTTCGGTCCAACTCAAATCACACACAAATGCTCTCTAAGCATTGTTTAATAGGCCCACTAGAACTGAAACAGAAAAAGGGACATTTACTTCAGGACACAAACAATGATAAAATATTAATCTGCAAACCATTATTAAATTATAAAATTATAAAATTACAATATTTTTTTTTACATGACAATTGAGCTGACAAATGAGAGCTGACGTTCTCTTTCACCTTTTAATTTACAGTATGAAAAAGTAACTGCCGTGATATTCTTCTTAACATCTCCTTTTGTAAGTCCATGATTATGGAAAAAAATACAGGCAAGTGATAAGTGTTACAAGGTGAGGTTGAAGCAGGATCCAAATGCAGCACGTTTATTTAAATACACTCAAACTATACAAAGACTCAGGCAAGGGAACAAGACTCGGGAACAGAAACTATACAAAGACTCAGGAACAGAAACCATGCAAAGACTCAGGCAAGGGAACAAGACTCGGGAACAGAAACTATACAAAGACTCGGGAACAGAAACTATACAAAGACTCGGGAACAGAAACCATACAAAGACTCAGGCAAGGAAATAAGACTCGGGAACAGAACAACCTACATCAACGTAACAGTGACAATAACTCACAAAGACAGGGCTAGAACTCACAAAGACAGGGCTGAAACACAGGGCTTAAATACAGGGGTAAACGAGCTTGATAAAATAAAAAGGGGGCGTGGTTAACGGGAAACACCTGGGATGACTTATAGACAGACAGGGAACCACTAAACATGACAAGACAAACCCACACCGTGTCAATAAGACTATAATACCTAATAGTGTTCCAATAATAAAAACAGCCCTGACTCCTAAGCTCGATCAAGCTTTATTCTATGCAAAATAAATCATCACATTACTGTAATTATATTATTGTTGATAATATTATTACTATTATTAGTAGTATTGCATTCTCTAAGAAAGAGATTTACCGCTAGTTAGTTAGCTCCAGCTGGAGAACACTCAATTCTCACCGGCTCCTCTTTTGCCGGGATGTTTCCTCTTTTAAGTGCCCCAACATGCTCGATGCAGCTGTCAAGAGGCAAACAACATTAGGAAATCCTGTTATTCATTTTAAATTCCGATTTACTGCTCAAGAAACATATATTATCATTATCAATGTTGAAAAAAGTTGTGAACAATTTCTTTTTCAGGATTATTTAATGAATAGAAAGTTCAAAAGAACAGCATTTATCTGAAATATAAAGCTTTTGCAAAATTATGAATGTCTATTCTGTCACTTGATCAATTTAATGCATCCTTGCTCAATGCTCTCCCCCAAAAAAATTCTTACCGACCCAAAACTTTTGAACGTTCTGAATGTTACAAAAGCTTTATATTTCAGATAAATACTGCTCTTTTGAACTTTCTATTCATCAAAGAATCATAAAAAAAGAATGTTTTACACAACTGCTTTCAACATTGATAATAATCATAAATGTTTGTTGAGCATCAAATCATCATATCAGAATGATTTGTGAAGGATCATGTGAAATTGAAGACTGGAGTAATGATGATAAATTCAGCTTTGATCACTGAAATAAATTACATTTTAAAATATATTAAAATAGAAAACAGTTATTAAAATGTAAAATAATATTTCACAATATTACAGCTTTTTTATGTATTTTTAATAAAAAAGGCAGTGTTGGTGTTCAGAAGAGACTTCTTTCAAAAACAATCAAATTAGTACATTTTCCAAACTTTTGACTGGTAGTGTATATTAGGCTGTGTTGTCACTAAGGTAGACATTGTTTTAAAATAAGATGCGACTGATGCGTACACTGAGACTGGGGTTCACTCTGGGACTGGGGCATCCTCTGGGACTGGGTCGTCCTCTGGGACTGGGGTGCCCTCTGGGACTGGGGTTCATTCTGGGACTGGGGCGTACTCTGGGACTGGGGCGTCCTCTGGGACTGGGGCGTACTCTGGGACCGGGGTGCCCTCTGGGACTGGGGTTCATTCTGGGACTGGGGCGTCCTCTGGTACTGGGGCGTCCTCTGGGACTGGGGTTCATTCTGGGACTGGGGCGTACTCTGGGACTGGGGCGTACTCTGGGACCGGGGTGCCCTCTGGGACTGGGGTTCATTCTGGGACTGGGGCGTCCTCTGGTACTGGGGTTCACTCTGGGACTGGGGCGTCCTCTGGTACTGGGGCGTCCTCTGGGACTGGGGCGTACTCTGGGACCAGGGTGCCCTCTGGGACTGCGGTTCATTCTGGGACTGGGGCGTCCTCTGGGGCTGGGGCGTACTCTGAGACTGGGGTTCACTCTGGGACTGGGGCGTCCTCTGGGACTGGGGTTCATTCTGGGACTGGGGCGTACTCTGGGACTGGGGCGTACTCTGGGACCGGGGTGCCCTCTGGGACTGGGGTTCATTCTGGGACTGGGTCGTCCTCTGGGACTGGGTCGTCCTCTGGGACTGGGGTTCACTCTGGGACTGGGGCGTCCTCTGGGACTGGGGCGTACTCTGGGACCGGGGTGCCCTCTGGGACTGGGGTTCATTCTGGGACTGGAGCGTCCTCTGGGACTGGGGCGTCCTCTGGTACTGGGGCGTCCTCTGGGACTGGGGCGTACTCTGGGACTGGGTCGTCCTCTGGGACTGGGGTTCACTCTGGGGCTGGGGCGTACTCTGAGACTGGGGTTCACTCTGGGACTGGGGCTTCCTCTGGGACTGGGTCGTCCTCTGGGACTGGGGTTCACTCTGGGACTGGGGCGTACTCTGGGACCGGGGTGCCCTCTGGGACTGGGGTTCATTCTGGGACTGGGGCGTCCTCTGGTACTGGGGTTCACTCTGGGACTGGGGCGTCCTCTGGTACTGGGGCGTACTCTGGGACTGGGGCGTACTCTGGGACCGGGGTGCCCTCTGGGACTGGGGTTCATTCTGGGACTGGGGCGTCCTCTGGTACTGGGGCGTACTCTGGTACTGGGGCGTACTCTGGTACTGGGGCGTCCTCTGGGGCGTCCTCTGGTACTGGGGCGTCCTCTGGTACTGGGGCGTCCTCTGGTACTGGGGCGTACTCTGGTACTGGGGCGTACTCTGGGACTGGGGCGTCCTTTGGTACTGGGGCGTCCTCTGGTACTGGGGTTCTCTCTGGGACTGGGGTTCACTCTGGTACTGTATCGTGCAAAAGTTAATTTATTTCAGTAATTCAACTTAAAAGGTGAAACTAATATATTATATAGACTCATTAAATGCAAAGTGAGATATTTCAAGCCTTAATTGTTATAATTGTGATGATTATGGCTTACAGCTTATGACAACCCCAAATTCAAAATTAGAATTTTTTGAAAAGGTTTTCATATCTGTAAACCATAATCATCAAAAGCCCTATGTACTTACCTGAATATAACTTGTGTCCACCAATATATAATCAGTGTGCATCCTCCCATTTATCTGCAACAGAGAAAACCAGCTATATTCATCTCATCACTTGAAGTATCCGTAATCTCTCAATACTTATCTACTTGCATATAATTGACATTTTGGGGTGAACTAATACTTTAATTAAAGCCTATTGGAATTGACTTCATTGTAAGGGGTATGATTACCACAAGCATTGTGTCAAATATATTTTTGCAACAGGGCTCGACAATAAGGACTGCCTGATGATCTGGGGCCAGTGGGAAAGAGTCCAGTCCAGTTGATGGAACTGGCAGTAAAAAGTGTTTAAAAAGTGTTAGCGTTGAGCACACTAGAAAAACCCCAGTAAAGCAACCAGTACAGCAGTGGCCAGAGTAATTGTATGCAAGTACCCTGGGACTTTTGCCGATAAGACTGGAGAAGGTAAGCAGCTGGGGTGTGGTTATTATTCACTCTTCAGACAGATTAAAACTCAGAGTTGAGCACATAAATAGAGACAATGTCAGTAATCGAATCCGACAGCCTAAGAAAAGGTCCAGTGATGACAGCAGTGGTAATGATGCTGCCATAAAAAGAAGCAGAACAGATGTGGATAGTTATGGGTGTACAAAATGGCAACCCACTAATCTTCCACAAGGAGAAACAGCAGAATCATTGGAAGACAAGAGAAAGATCTTGGTAACCATCTTCAAGTCAGAAGGACCTACAGCTGTTGAGACAATGGACGTAAAGAGGAATATGGAATTTACCTATATTTATCAGAGGCACATGATATAAAAACAATTTATATACGATTTATTTATCAGAGAATACTTGGCCCCCTCCCAGTCTGTGTGAAGTTGAAGAGCAATGGCAGACCTGCCAACCTGTACACATTTTGTGTAGCGGCCACACATTTTGACCTCAAAGTACACAGGTGCAATTTATCACTCTAAACCACGCAAAAACCTGGTGACGTCTCTGTGCACGCGCAGTCCTTAAATCAAGCAACAGCAAAAGAAGAAGAGTTCGACCAATCATAGCGCTGGGTTCATTCCCCAAATAGCAAGCGGGGATGATTGACAGATGCGTAAGGCCTATCATTAAAAAGAGACTGAAAATCGACTGCAATAAAGAATCCCGCTCTATCCCCTTTCCACTCCCACGAGGGCCGCGACCCGCGGTCTGACTGATTTAAGCGAGGACAGTACAGTAGTCACGGTACTTCTGACTCCTGAAGGTAAACGGGCTGGGGTGGATGTGGAAAGTTGAAATATTGTATTGAGTTAACTTAATCTGGATTCGAAAATCACACTGGAGTGAAATATGTAACATAATGAGGTACTTTAGTTATTATTAGCACAATAACGTAACACACGCAGGCTACGTTTTTCAACACTGAGAAGGAAGAAATAAACATTTCTCCAGATCCGCGCTGATCAGTCATCCACAAATCACGGCACTTTTATAATCACTAAGCCATAGCGATTTTAGTTTTATTTCGATTTATTGTTCAGCATTGCTTGTGCATTTTATAATTTGCATGGCTGAATGATTTCTTCCTCTTATCTGAGTAACCATGAATGAATGACAGAGTATTCTAAGATAACCCATGCAACAGAACCGGAAGACAATACAATGCTGAATAAAGTAATAGTTTTTGTTATTTTTGGACCAAAATGTATTTTCGATGCTTCAAAAAATTCTAACTAACCCACTGATGTCACATGGACTACTTTGATGATGTCTTTATTTCCTTTCTGGACAAGGACAGTATACTGTGTATACATTTTTAATGGAGGGACAGAAAGCTAAAAATATCTTAAACTGTGTTCCGAAGATGAACGGAGGTCTTACGGGCTTGGAACAACATGAGGGTGAGTCATTAATGACATAATTTTCATTTTTGGGTAAACTAACCCTTTAATGTTGTCTGCTGAAATGACTCCAAAAGTGATTCCCGCCGGCTAGTCTTCTAGCTGGCTGCAAACTGTGGAGTGGATTTCCTGAACGGAGGCGCGGCTCAATGAGACAAAGAAGCTGTGTCCCAATGTGAAGGCTGCATCCTTCAAAGGCTGCGGACTTCGAAGGATGCAGCCTATTCGTCCTTCGAAGGACGCACCATGTAGCCTTCGTGGGATTTCCTAATTGCGCAACCAGGTGTTCCCGATTATCGCTCCTGGCGCCAAGCAACGGTGCGAGAGTACAGCTGCCATCCTGATCATTCATTTGATATAATTGAGTAAACAGCCATGGAGACAGAATTGGCTATTGCCATTTTTTTTATATATATATATATATATATATATATATTTTACTGGAGGACATGGGAGGATGTTTCAGCCCCGGCGCTGCCGAGTCATGTATTTTCGGCTTAGCCAAGACCATGGCCAGAGCTGGTTTACTGCATCCCAATTCAGAGGCTGCGTCCTGAATGGCCAGATTACACTTTAAACTGTTCAAGTATTGGGTGTTAACTTACGTAAATAATGTAATGAAATATGAAAAGAAAAGAAAACATACAGGCACATATTTATATATATATATATATATATATATACACTCACCGGCCACTTTATTAGGTACCCCATGCTAGTAACGGGTTGGACCCCCTTTTGCCTTCAGAACTGCCTCAATTCTTCGTGGCATACTGCCGCTCACTGGATGTTTTTTCTTTTTCGGACCATTCTCTGTAAACCCTAGAGATGGTTGTGCGTGAAAATCCCAGTAGATTAGCAGTTTCTGAAATACTCAGACCAGCCCTTCTGGCACCAACAATCATGCCACGTTCAAAGTCACTCAAATCACCTTTCTTCCCCATACTGATGCTCGGTTTGAACTGCAGGAGATTGTCTTGACCATGTCTACATGCCTAAATGCACTGAGTTGCCGCCATGTGATTGGCTGCTTAGAAATTAAGTGTTAACGAGCAGTTGGACAGGCGTACCTAATAAAGTGGCCGGTGAGTGTATATACTGTATAGATATATATATTTAAATTCAAATGTTCACTTATATCGTAGGCTATTGATGTGATTTTGTAGGCTAGTCATGTATTCTTTTTATTATGAACAGAAATGGACCATGGTGAAAATATTTACACAGGTTTTCATCCCTATTTGAATATAAAACCCAGTTGAATATTAAAGTCTAGTGCAAACGTTACTCCCGCTCGTCATCGGCAGCTGTCAGTCACAGTTGCTAGGCGACAAGAACAATCCTCCGTAGGCTAGACCGGTCCGAGCGCTTCAGATGCGCACTTTGATATGATACGCATCTGTAGTTAGCAACAATTTGTTAATATTGTGACAATAGACCTACATTTTGTGACTTTAATTTTCAAAATAACCAGTGGTGGAATGTAAGGAACTACATACTTCGTTAAGTATTCACGTACAAATGTGAAGTAGCCTACTTTTTTCCCACACAGGACAGCAAGACTACGCATTGTTTAACATTAAACTATGTATCAACCTTGCAAACACTCAGAGATCATTACAAAAAAAAAACAATTTCCAGAGCCATGAATTCTCTTTTATTTACACATTTAAATTTGCATAAAATAATGAAATAATAAAGAAATAATGTACAGAAATATTTTTTTCCTTTAAAAAAAATATAAGTAAAAAAAAAGTTAAACAAGAATATATATATATATATATATATATATATATATATATATATATATATATATATATAAAAGAAGAGAAAACAGCCTGTCAATCCTCTTCCTCTCCTCGCCTCTGCAGTCCCATGTCTTCTCTAATCAAGTCCAAAAACTCGTCCTCTCCATCTCGCCTTCTCTGGTGCTGGTGCTCCTGGCTCGTCCTCTTCTTGGTCGGAAACTGCTGAACTCAGCCCTGGTGTGTCCTCACGGATGGAGGCGATTAGGACAGGGCGGTTGGTGGAGTGGCTCTGTCCCAACACCTCATCCATGAGGACACACCAGGGCCAAGTTTCAGCAGTGGGCTTCCCACTCACACCCTCACCTGTCCCAGGA